CTCTCTCTCTCTCTCTCTCTCTCTCTCTCTCTCACTCTCTCTCTCTCTCTCTCATACACACTATAGATTTACACATATTTCTTTTCACTCTATTTTTATTTTTCGCTACCCTCTCCGTCACTCGTTGATTCACGGTCTCCCGTACAGTGTATCCTGTATACTTTTTATACACTTTATAATTCATCGTTGCCTTTGTTTTTTTATTAAAAATTTTTTTCTCCCCAATGCCTCCCATCCACCCTCGCCTGTCAAATTTACTCGCGATTAAAGGTTAGTAGCACGCGTTCTCGATATTTGAAAAAAAAAGAAAATATTTTCCTATATTCATCAAACGTACACAACCAGCTGCCACGTGCTACTACTCCGAATCGTGTATATATTTTCATTGGAAAGAAGAAAATAATAATTGCGCAAGTATAAAAATCAATGACCAGCATTATCACTGTCATTTCAACGTCTTTCGCATGTCATACGCAACACGTGGATGAAACTCGAGCTTCGTCGTCAATAATATTTTCGAGTCGTCCAAAATCATTTAAATTCCATTCGGTGTGATCGGCGTTGTTGTTTATCGTGAAAAATCGTATTCAGATATCTTCGACGATCTCATGCATTTATCTCGTATGATTTGTGCACGAACAAAACAACACGACGAGCGCAGAGCAACCGTTACGTATGCGTATACCTATAGCTATTGCGGGCTTAAAATTCATATATCCCTGAGCGACCGACCTCTCGCAATTGCCAAAAATTCAAACTGTTGCTTTGCCTTTAGACGTAAATTAAGTAAATGCTTGCTGAAAGGAGGAAATCGAAAAATTATTATTTTCATTCGCAACGATATGTTTCGTATCCACTGCAAAAGTCTTTTTCAAGATTAATTATACGTTGCGCAATGGGAGGCTTGAGAAAACGAATTACGAAGATTGAGAGAGAGAGAGAGAGAGAGAGAGAGAGAGAGAGAGGGGGGGGGGAGGTGTAGGAGGAGAGAGAGAATATTTAAGCTGCAGGACAATGACGGAAAGAGGCACAGACGCGATTAGCATAAATTAATTAATAATTATTATAAATGCTAAAAATTTGACGGAGATTGGACAGATAAGGATAAAAGATAAGAAAGTACCGAGTAAATGTATGGAGGAGTCTTACGTATCGATGGTGGGTGGGTGGCTGGTGGGACCTAATGGACTGTATATATACATATATATGTTACATATAATAATATAGTTTTTTACCAAATGTAACACGTGCGTGTGCCGTAAATATCTAAGGGAAATGTTTTATATATGTATATAACTTTTTTTTGAGAACTGTGCTCGGTACAGTGACTATAATTAATTCTAATTTTTTTATCGATTAACATTCTTATTCGCATTTTTGTAGGTAGCTTATATATGTATATGTATGTATATATATATATATATATATATATATATTCCTATTGTCCGAATTAACATTGTGGACGTGACGTTTCGTAGATAATTTTTTTTTCAACAATCGCTGTCAATGATACAATAAAATATTTACAAAATTGCTTAAAAACGATGGTGGGCTTATTTTTAAAATTCGTATTTACGCTACGAAGGGAAGCACTGCGCCAATGAACGATTAGCTCGAAATAAGGTTTGGGATGTCAGTTTAATTAAAAATTGGAGATTTTGAGTTTTCTTACGCGCGACGAACGAAATACGCGGTAGTATGAAAATTGATTCTCTCGAAAGAAAGAGAATTTAAGGGTACGTTTTATTATGATGAATTAAAAAATATATATTTATGATCTCTCGAGTAAAAATAAAAAAATAATTTAACGTTTCGATCTTTCGTATTACTTACACCACGTAAATCCTTACTCGAGGTAAACGACGGTTGACCGTAACGATACTTGAGAATTAGTCACTTTAAAGCAAATACGATACTTTTTGAGACAAGTGTTTAATTTTCAAGTTAAAAAGAAATTAGCTGGTTACCCCGATTTACATATTTCTCTTGTTCCATTGGTTCAGTCTCTCCATAGCGTGCGACAATCGATTATAACCAAACGATGATCTGTTATTACAGTAAGCTTAATGATTTGTCATTTGAAAACTACATACAATTATTTTTATTATTAAAGTTAAAACATCACATGGTATCATCCGGTCACAATCCGGCGAGCGTATGGGCGGGATGGCTGTGCTGATGTGAGTGGGAATGAAGAGATGCTGGCGAGTGGCCAAGAGCTGCCAACGAGTGGGGTGGGCCCAGACCCAAAGGTGGGGACCCACCATTATGCATAAGTCCGCCGAGCATCCCTCCCATTCCGCCTAACGCTGCTAAACTGGCCATACCTCCACTCGCGGCACCGTTCAGGGCGTCTGTACTTGGCTTCGAGTCCTTTTGCTCCAACTCCTCACGTTTTTTCACTTGCTTGCGTTCCTTCGCTCGTCGATTTTGAAACCAAATTTTGACCTGAATGTGACATTAAAAATCGGCTCATATCTCACGGCAGTCACCATTTTGTCTTTCGTTGCGTCATACTATTCATGCATATATGAACTTGTCATTACAATCGGGACGATCGTTTCTCGTATTCCGTCGGATAAAGTACTGATCGTCCTTGTTTAATTTTCGAAGAAAAAAAATGTAGTAATTTTTCGCGGAAGTGGAAATTTTGAATTTTGGGACTCACCTGACGCTCCGAGAGTGCCAAAGTTGCTGCGAGCTCGGCCTTACGACGAATTGTAATGTAACGGCTGTAGTGAAACTCCTTCTCCAGCTCGAGTCTTTGTTGGTCCGTATAAACCACCCTGTACTTATCCTTTGTCCTCGTTTTTCCTGCAAATCATCAAATGCGCTGTTATCAATGGAAACAAATGAGTGATATAATAACGATGTTTGCTCATATAGGATCAGTCGTACAACGCGTACTTTACGCGTTCCAGTTACGGATAGGTTCGTATACAGTAATAAAAGAAAAACAATAAAAGAAATGGACGACGCTTTCGCGACGTTCAGTTTTGCAACGCCCCGTAGTATGAAGATAAAAAATCGTGCTAACGCGACCGAGATAGGCGCGGCCATTATTATCATCGCAGATAGGCGAAAAAAAAAACATGCGTCTTCGTCATGTCGAGCCTCTCGTGCTAATTAAACTACACGATAAGCGACAGCGCGTGTTTCGGTCTCGCTCGGTCGCTACGACGACACATGCGAGCGATTACCGCTCGCCCTTTTACACACGTTAATATCAGCGAGGACGCGTGCCGTCGGCGACGCCACGAACTAAAGCTACGTACCGAAAGCGGGATGATAAAAGAAAAAATTAAAACGAAACGGTCCCTTTGGTAAATACTCAAAGTCAAAAGCATAAGAAGAACATAATGAAAAAAAAAATCTCACATAGTGTAAAATACGCGTGCCATCGTCATGCATGGGTACGTCACAGGAAGATAAGGATATGACAATTTTTGGTAAAGATATCGAAGAAAAAAGTTTTCAAGCGAGTCATCATATGAGCGATGGTCCGCCATATTGGCTAACATCCATCCCATGATGCAACAGGACTCAACCGTTATACTGTATTAGTATAGTGCACTTAATTCCTCGTACTCAACAGGTATCAGGCTTACTAATATTTTATCATTTTTTTTTTAATTCTATTTCACCCATTTCCAGTTCTTACAGACACCCTAATCTTAGACCGTTATTTCCGTTAAAGTTCACTGAGAGTAGAAACCAGCCGGATAGAACCGCAAAGCTGAAACGAGCGTGTAAGAGGGTAGACGGAGTGAGAAATTGTGGAAGAGAGGATCGGCAACGTAGAGGCCAGCACGATTAGATAAGACCCGAGTCGGCGAGATCAAAGCCTAGCCACGTTAATCCACCACTACTCGATAAGTCGAGGCCTTCGTGGCCCACGGCTCTTCTTCCTCGCGTTATTTCATCGTGTTTTATTATTGCTGTCAATTCTCTCTCTCTCTCTCTCTCTCTCTCTCTCTCTCTCTCTCTCTCTCTCTCTCTCGCTCTCTCTTTCTCTTAGTGTCGATATACGACCTCTCTCTCTTTTTTTTTCTTTTTCCTTCACACAGCCATCTCCCACTCATTTCCTTCTTACGTCCATCAAGAGACTATTAATCCAAACACTCTCCTGGGTACTCCGGAACGCGGAACGAGACTGCCAAAGAAATTCCAAAATTCCTAGGATCGAGCACGGGCTCCTTGGTCGCGTGACGACCGAACCTATAAAAATTCGTATTATCGAAATTCATGACGGACAATTTGACCGGACGGACCCTGGAACGTTGAGTCGCACGTGAACCTAGCAATGTAACAATGTAACCTATGGTTGTGTGAACCAACATCAGGATTACTGGCGGCCCTTTTCATCTCCCGATAGCGACGATATCCCTTCCTCTCTTTATTCAACTCCAACCTCCTAGTTCTCAACGTAGTCCATGCGTACCTTCAACGTCCGAGAGAACGGTTACGCCATTTTTTAATATTTCGAAAAAAAACTATGACGCGTAAACAATTTTTTTTTTCTTCATTGTACGGTATTATCGGTATGGCAAGAATTTAACATAAAATTCGAATTTTCATGTGGGGTGATGACTTTTTTGAATTTTCAAAATTTTTCGACTTTTTTCTTTGAAATTCTTGCATCTTTCGTTTCCGCTCTTTCTTATAGGAACTGAATGTGTTCTCGGCCGCTAAGTGAACTGAGAATCCGGCCAATCCATCATAGTATCGTACGAAGCTACAGTTGAGGCCCCCGGGGCCCTAATCACTATCGAGCTACGAGTTTATATTGAAAAGCGCCGACATTTAAAACAGGCTGATTTTGGAAAGCCCAGGAATTAGCGGGGATTTGTCGGCGCTTTTGATGCGGCCGTGCTTACGACCGCACGGCTATCTCCGGCCATTCTACGGCGGATAAAGAATCGACCGACCAATAAAGGAGTGAGGGACCTGCGATTTTTTTAAGTCCCTGTTCACGGGTAGCGATTAATTTCACGATAAAATAAAAGGATGACGAAACGGAATTAAAGTATAAGACTCGTCGACGATCATATCGAGATCAGTATTACACGCGAGGTATTGCAAACTGGTTAAAAAATAAAGAATCATTAGCAGCGTCGAAATTTAGTAAAATAAATTACAAAATTTTTTCCTATAATTTGCCGGCTGAATCCGCGCATTTCAATTGAAAAAAAAAAAAAATCTTCCAATAAATCAAACAAACCGCCGACAATGGATCGGCATTAAAACTTTCAAAATCAAGTGCACGTGCGAGACCAAAATTCGAGAAAATTTTTGTTTAAACGTACACAATCTTCGATTTTGTAAATTTAACCAAAATTTAAGTATTATCGCAGCCAATTAAAGTAAACGAAAAACGGGTCCATACGGCTTATTGATATATATACGTATATAGAGACGACACATGGCCCAAAAGTACCTGACGCAAGAGGACCCTAGAAGAAACCTGATAGCGACATAACCTAACCTTAGCATCTCACAATAGGGCCAATTGCGCCCTTACTGACGAATGTCCTAACACATAGGGGATGGTACAGCTTCCTAACCCAAATCTCTGTCTATGCATGTATAAGGGTAGACAGTTCTATTCTCTCTCTCTCTCTCTCTCTCTCTCTCTCTCTCTCTCTCTCTCACACACACACACACACACACACACACACACACACACACACACACACAGTATGTATACACATTTTTCCACGGTGGACTTTCCACGCACGGAGGCACGCGCTCCCGCAATTCGTATCGCGAAATGGAAGAGGAAACGTTGTAATGGGGTGGTTACGAGACCCACGAGGCCCATTTGGAACCCTCCATGAATGCCACTGTTCTAACCCACAGCCCCCCTTTACACCGCCCATCCCTCGCGCCATTGACGCAAGTCTTCGCGAAGCCAAAAACCAGGGTGCCTCAATTCCTCCTGTACCCCAACGTCACTCTAATGCTTCACGATTTCGCCCTTAAAATTTCTTTACACTTTTACCCCATTTCGCAACTCATACTCCTACTTTCGTATTCCAATGAGACACCCTTACGTATCGTGCATTTATATTTCCTCCCTATTTCTGTCCAACTTTCTAGGTCCTTTCGTCGAACAAATTTTATTATCAAAAGTGGATTTGCCGTTTTGGGCGAGCTTTGGATTTTTTCTTGAGGACTGTGTGTAGACGCAAGCTTTTTTTATGTCTCCTCCGTTTCCTGCACGTTTCTTGATTCTTACGTTTTACCCCCCCCCCCCCCCCCCCCCCCCCC